AAATTTGATGTGTCTATTTTTATTTTTCTGAAGAGAAGATGTGTCTATTTAGTAACATATAAATTAAATAAAAATTGAGTGAAGATAGTAGAAATAGACATAACACTAGCATAAGGAAGATTTTTAACATTGGTTAAAAATGATATTGTACAGCAGTTGCATAATTAATACAAAACATATAAGTGACTTTCTACATTAATTAGATTTTAACTGATATATAATAGTGAAAATTCAACTCAAGAGACTTTGGTGAACTATAAAACTATTTCCCCAAACCCTTAGCCCCCACCCCATAAAAGCAATCAATGCAAAATAGCAATTTTGCATTAGTATAAACCAAAAACAACCAAATATGATTAAATGGTCTATTTTATATTGATAAAAATGGATGTAAAATTATGCTATTAGATCAACAACATATGTAGAAAATGGGTAATGACACTTTTGATCGCCTATAACAATTTAATTGATTAATGTTTTAGAGCTGTTAAATTTACATAAACAGTTCAATATAATGTAAATTGTTATTATGGCCATGATATTGTGTATTGAATTGATTACTCAAAGAAAATAGAAAACATATGTTAAAATTTAATCAATTATATATTAATGATTACATAGCGTTGCAATGACCATGCAAGGCTGAAAAGGAATTTTGATCGATTAGAATATTCATTGGAGCATTGAAGTGTGGTTAATCGATCAGTGTGTTACCTCTAGAAAAGACATAAATTGTGCATTAATAGAATCTAAACAAATGTATTGCATTCATTTGTAAGGTACAGTGGGGAAATTAAAATCAATTAACATTTTGAAAGAAAAAAAAACATTAGAAGATGATAATGTTAACTAAAAGAAGAAGGAAGCAACGACTGTCAAATACAAATCGCAAAGCTAGTGGCAAAGAGGAAGAGAGCAACAATAGTAGGGAGTTTGAGGGGATATTTTTGGAACATGCATAAATGTATAATTGGTTTATGTGAATCTAATTTTCTTTGCTCTTTATGCTCACTTTTGCAATGAAAAAAAAAGTAATGACTTAGGACCCATTCATATCTTTGATTTTCTTTGTCTCTCATTAACACTATGTTTAGTTGCGCAAAAATACAGAGGGGGAGCGAATACGACAGAATTAGCGGAATAAACTAACTTTGATTTAAAGAAATTTTAAATTTTTTGGTATTTAAATTACTTTAATTTCAATTTCTATAATTTTTTTTGGATAAATCAATTCAAATTTTTTAAATTTTAAATTGTCAGATTGAATATGATAATTTAATTCTACCATGATAAAATTGATTTTAAAAATATATTTATATGTTAACATTTTTAAATTAAATTTTATAAAAATAAATATTAGTTAATTTTTAAATATTTAATAATTTTAAAAATTAATATTAGATAATATTTAATAATTTTAAAAATATTTTTTAAATATTTAATAATTAAAAACATGAGGAAATAAGAGATAAGATAAAATATATAAGTGAAATAAGAAGAAAAAAATATGAGAAATTTTCAATTTTTATTTTTTGGGAGAATATGAAATTCTACTATTTTAAGAAATTTCATAAATGTTTGAATTTCAAATTTTTTTATAAATTCTCTATCCAAACAAGGTATTTCACCTTAAAGAATTTGAAATTCTTCAAATGAATGAAATATTTAATAATTAAAAACATGAAGAGATACGATAAAATATACAAGTGAAATAGGAAAAAAAAATTCAAATTCTTACTTTTTTGATAAAATTCTACTATTTTAAAAAAATTTACAAATATTTAAATTTTAATTTATTTTATAAATTTACCATCCAAATAAAATATTTCAGCATAAAAAATTTGAAATTATTTAAATAAATGAATTATTTTATTTAAATTTTTCATCCAAACACACTATAATTATTTGGTTTTAACAAAAGAAAAGAAATAAAAAATAAAAAATAAAAAATTGTTTCATGTTTTGCAACTTCAATCAATTGAAATTCCTAAATAATTGATTGTCCATTGAGGTTAATCAACAAAAAAAAAACATCAACAGCCATTATACGTGAGTTATTTTTTAAAAGCAAAAATAAAAGGTTATTTATTCTCATTATTTCATTAATTTTTTTCTATTCAAATAACTATATAATATTATTTATCTTTTCATTCCCTTATATTTCTTTTAAATCAAATCAAACCATCTAACATTTTACTACATTTCTTATTTTTTCTCTGATTCTCCCTATTTTTTTCTTTCTACTCTTTGTCTCTTTCCTACCAAATCGACCCTAACCAAATACACACTATTTAGTTTCAACATCATTTTTTCTCCTCTTAAGCCAATTTCTCCTCCAAATCAGAACAACCTAACAGAATATTAAGGTTGTAAGTTCGTAAGTCGAACCCAAAATTCATGGACTTAAATTGAGTTAAAAATACAAAATTTAAAATTACTTTCTCATTGTAATTTTTAATTTAAAAAATATATGTGAAGTTTATAACTAATGTCTGTAGATCATTAATACTAGTACAGAAAAATAGAGGAAGGAGACAGGGTGGTTTTCATTCAAATTTGGTTATGGCAGGAAGGAATAGGACAGAGGCATAGCAATAGCATAAGCATAGTATCATAGTTATCATCAAAAAACAAAAAAAAGAATAAAAAGAATAGTATCATAGATGCGCTGAATTTGGCTTTATTGATGGATGCACACACAGGATTGGGGAAAAAAACAGTACAAAGTCACAGGCAACAACCGAACACAAGTTATGACTTACGAATATCAATTATTTGGATCGTCTTTTCTATGATAATTTATAATATAATTCTATTTTGTTCTGAATTTGGACAACCACTATGTACAAGTATAAAGATCGTAGGTTATATTGTTGTATTAAGTAATTAAATAAATGGTAAGTAATTGGGGCAAGAGGACAATGATTCATGTTAAGGATGATGGAGAAATGTCTTGGTGTGAAACTTTTTGTAACATAACATGGGCTACTGTGATATGCCTTTTGCTTTTTTAATGTTTCTCCTCTCCTCTGACCTCTCCTCTGTGTACCACTGTCATGGCCACCACCTATGCCTGCACATGCCTCCACTTTCATTATCCACATCACATACTTTTTTTTATTAGAAATTACAACCATTTTATATTAGTTTTTTTTTTTCTATTACAAGATTTTCTATTATTTTTCCAGTTATAATACTGATCTTTGCTCTCAGTATTGAGACTACACTTTCTTATAAATGTCTTTTTTAAGTCGAGTATATATATTATATTATATTTAAAATTTTATGATTAAAAAAATGTACATGATTATTTTAAATTATCATGTGATTACTAATTGTTTTTTAATATTGATCATATATATATATAGACAGAAAAAGATGAGAAATTAAGTTACTCCAAGAATCATATTAAAAGAGTTATTCTGTATCTCCACCATTTATTTTCTCTCAAATTATAATGAGTAATTCAAAAGAATATCTAATGGTTAAAATTATTTAGGTTGCAATCTGAAAGATGAAAGGTAAATACTACTATAAATTATATTAAACAAAATCTTATTTTACTCTTCCATTGGCAAGGTTAGGTACACTTGAAGATTGGTTCACATTTATCGTTGACAACTTTTGACATTATTATGGACTGGATCATGATGATGGTGATCTTAACACTTATGCATGTCTGCCTTTCAGTTTAAAAAATCATGGTTTGAATTCAAGTTTGTCTCTTCATCTATTATTACTTTTATCTAAATCATATTTTAAGAATTTTATCCTAATGGTTGTGAGATGATGCACTTGAACATTGCTTGTTGCAACTAAATACAAATTTATATGCGATCTATTTGTTTTATTACTTATTTTATTTATATATATATAT